TGGAATTACGATACTCAAGAACTTCCATCGGATTTCTCCCATTGTTCAAAATCACCTCAAGCTGGTTTATCTTACTCTGAAATTTGCTGTTGTTGCTGCGGCTCTTGAGACTTACCTTCATGTCCTGTTCAACATTGGTTTTTTTTTTTTTTTTTTTTTTCTTAGTTTTTGTATTTTTGTTGCGGGTTTTGGTTTGGTCCCCTACTTGTATTTTGCTTTCTTTTAATATCGGTTCTTATGATGTGTAACATATGATTATTATAAGGTGAGGTGCTAACCAGTTAGGATCTTCTCTCGCATAATGATGCTATTACACATCTACCCTTTATCCCAAAAAAAATAACTGTAGTCCCAATTTGTCCATTACATTTATTTAAATTCAATGTATGTTGGATTGTTCAATAATTTTTTCTTTCTGCTACACAACAATTTTGTTTGGTAGTAACATAAGTGATATTTTTTAAGGATAAAATTAAGTGATAGTTTGTTTTGATGCACTTATATTATTTTTAATTAAAATTAAAGTTTTATTTTAATATTATATAAATTAAAGTTTTATTTTAATATTATATAAATTAAAGTGATGCCTCGAATGTGGTTATTGTTGTGAATGGGTTGTTAAGTCAGACGAAACAATTCCCAATAAGATTTTGAATGAGACAAATATAATACATGTTATTTCTAACAAGTGTGTTAGTGTTTCAGAAAAACATAAGTACAGGCAAGTTGAAGAATAGAGCACGTGCCACTTCCTACACCAGAACCAAGATAAAGGGTAAAAGCTTCAAGCATCAGATAGAAAAGTCAACAAGCCAAGCCTAGCACAAAAAGGCAAATGATCAAACTTCAAACGATACAGACCACAGACGAAACGCTTCAAGTACCAGACGAAGATTAGTTAAAGCAAAGCACACCACGAGGATCAAACAAAGCAAGTCAAATGATAGATAGAGTAAGACATGAGCACTAGACGATGATAAATCAAATATCAGATGAAGGTGTGTCAAGGACAACCTAGAGCGCTATATAAGAATTCAGACGAAGGTTGGTCAAAGATCAGAAGAAAGTCAATTAAGTATCAGACGAAGGGCATCACAGACTGAAAAGTATTATAGACGAAAACAAAGTCTGTCCATCTACAATGTTGACCAGACTAAATAAAGTCAAAGCATTAATGACAAATGCTCAGACGAAGATCAAGACTTGAGATGTACATGGACTAACAAACGCAGACGAAGACTGTCATGAAAGCATTTGAAGAATCAAGTCTCAAGGGACAACTCAGGCATCGTCTAGAATCATACAAAAGCTCTCAATATGATCGTGCGTTGAAAGGAAGAAAAGAAAAAGAAGAAATACAAGCGCAAAAGTAAAAGCATGCATGTGTTAGAAAAAGTACATCACTTTTTCATATAAAGACAACGCCTCTACAGCTACGCGACCGGAAAAGGACAAAAAGTTCCTAGGTCGCAGCTAAAGTCAGACACAGCAGCTAACAAACGTAGAAGACTTCACGCAATGTTTATAAACAGGAAGCAACATTTAATGCAAGATCTAATGCATTAAATGAAAGATCAAACTAGTTATGAATGACTACATTCTACTTTAACGGACACTTGCAACGGGCAAATTTTACAAGACTTCAAACCGCCACAAAGAGATTGAATTTTTTTGCGCTCGGAACCAGCGTTTACAAAATGTCCACCCAACGGTTTTTGGCGATAGTAGATCAGGCGGTTATTAATGAAGCGG